CTACCCACCATGAGTATCATGGCCTGTACCACGTGTACTAAGAATAAGCAAAAAAAAAAACTCACATTCTGTTGGGCTGCCTGACTGAAGTACTTCACAGCCTTGGTGGACTTGTTCCTCTCGTGGAAGTACACCCCCATGTACAGCAGAGCCTGGACACCAACACCATTCAGTACTAACTGGGGGCAAGAAGAAAGGTGAAATCACACACATTCAGTATAATAATAGGAATGCTAGATTTTCTTTAAATACATACAATAGAACCTCCTCAATATAAAAGATCCAGATAAAAGAATATTACCTAAAAATTATATTCTATAATAGGGGGTCAGTGGAAGGGTGGTCTAAACTGTTGGTTTTCGACGGCTATGACCCAGGATCAAATCCTGCATTAGGACTTTTTTTCTAATTTGAAAAAAAAAAAATAAAATAAAATGCTCCAATGGCCCCTGATTCTTGCCAAAATCCAACCCCACCAACGAGTGCAAGTAACCAAAAGGGTTCTGGCACATTTGTAAGTGCAAAAGTCGAACTGCTTTTCACATGTGTAGACATGTGGTGCATTTACAGTAAAAGCAGTCGCCAACTTCTACCAGCCATGATTATCATGGCCTGTACCATGTTTACTAGGGATTATTAAAACAAAAAAAAAAAGAAAAAGAAAGGTTCCTAGCCTGAAAGCTCTAGTTAATAAAATTATATATTTTGCAAGACACTCATTCCTAAATGAAATTTTCTCCTCTCAAATGGTATTACATTCGATTTACTCAGGACACCTACCTCTGGCAGCAGTTTACTGGCAGCTTTCTGCATGCAGGTCAGGGCGTGGGTCTCACTGCACTCCAGGCCCCCCAACCCCTGCAGGTAGAACATGCCGAGGTTGTAGAGGGCGCTAGCGTGGCCCTCCCTGGCTGCCATCAGGTAGTGCTGGGCAGCCTGCACAACTGGCCATGTTGAAGCTGTCATGGAGAGAAATAACAGTTCAGAAAATCTCCCAATTTAAAAATAGCAGGGGGGGGGGGGGGGAAATGAATGAAAAGCTAAAAGGGCCAGGCTTAAAAGACAAATGAGCATACTATATAGGATGCCTATAGACCTATAGGATAGACAAAGTCATGATCAAAGTTAAGAGTTGAGTGGTTACATTGTGCACAGCAGAGTACAACCTGCGAGTACATTAGTGCCCCCTACATCTGTTTATATAAAGGAAAAAAAAAACTACTCAAGAATTTTTTTTCTCAAATAGCTTCCTGCTATCCTTACTGCGATGGGAAAATATTGGGATGAGCTAGCTCATCAATGATGAACCCTCTCAGCAGTTTCACCAATTTAATCTGTTGTTGTTTCCTATCCCCTTATGTAAAAATTACACAAATTCCAAGAGTCCAGCCAGTTTAATCTAACTGCTCCCAGTCTTAATGACAAAGGCAGAAACATTCTACTTCACCCAGTCTCTCATGATGGTTGTCAACAACATCATTAAAAGTGTAGAGCTCTACAGACTTTATACCCTAATAAGATAGAGTGGAGAGATGAGAAAGGAGAAGTAGAGATCTAACAGATTACTTCCCTCAGAGGGAGGTGACAGCGAGACACTAAAATGTCGGGAAATGATTAACTCAAGAGTGGTTGATGTATCTATAATGAAAACAATGAGCTCCACCACTAAGAGTGAGGACTCTCAACAGAAAAATACATTTACACCAAGAAGGAAGTTGAAGAAGTAGAGCTGAATAAAAGATTTGCACCAAAAAATCCTTTACCTCTAAAACATTACATCCATGTTATAAAAAAAAGTTTATTTGCCTATAATGGAACAAATAATGAGAAAGACCCACTTTCTAAAGTCACAAAGCAGAGTATTTTAAATAGTTTTCAATATATATATATACAGGGTGGCCCATAAGTCGCGGGACTTATTACTATGTATATATAGTGTGTAATTTTTAAAATTAGATTAACTCTCAATAAGGCATAATTTGGATTATAAATTATAAACACAAGGTAATAAGTTTAAATCCAAATAAATAGAGAGTGGACCTTTCGGTAACAGCATTGTGTTACCTTGTGTTTAGATTAACTCTCATTTATGAGTTTTGAATGACGATAAAGATGATACCCCTATAGGGGGTATGTGTGTTGGAATAACTAAGATAATGAACAAATAGTCTCTGGTACCTTGGGGATGGCAAATAGACATATATTTATTCTAAATTTTAAAAATTCCATAATTTATTTATCCTTTCTATCCTTTGACTTGTCTTTTGCTTTCTATGTATGCAAATACTGTATACAAGTCTGGTTTAAAATTTTTTAAAACCCATGTTCTTTGGTTGAGAAATTTTTGCAAAAGATGAAAGGTCAAAATAAAGGCTTAATGTATGTGTCTGCACGTGGTGATTGCTGTCATAAATGTGAGAGGTGAATGCTGAAATAAAAGGAATATTTTTTACATAATAACATTAATACATTCTGATTGAAATGGAAGCCATTATTAGCACATTACTGTTTTTACAAATTACAGTTGTTTCTAATCCCCTTATGTAATGATTAACACAAATTCCATGAGTTCATGCTCCTTGAGTTACAAATTACTTGTTACTATTATTTGCACAAATTGCCAAAATATATAAACTATAACAAATTTTATGTAAGTGGAAAAGTCAAACTACTTTTCACGTGTATGGACATGTGGTGCACTTACAGTAAAAGCAGTCGCCAACTTCTACCCACCATGATTATCATGGCCTGTACCACGTGTACTAGGGATAATAATAATATAAATTTCATGATAAACTATGTGCAATAATCCTGCAGTCTGCTCACACTCTACTTATCTCTTAAACACAGTTCTACCCATCCACTTCCCACCATGAGGCAGGACTACATACCAGATGTAGGTCTGGGGAGGTGCCATGACCAGTCTCGTAGCACACTCCCAGGTTGTAATGGGCCTTGGGACAGCCCAGGGAGTTAGCGGCTTGCTTGAAGTGAGAGAAGGCTTTGATGTCTAGGTGAGAGCTCGCTGCATCCACCCCACGCTGGTTCTCCAGGAGTCCGGCGAAGTTACTGGCCACCAGTTCCACCTGGTCAAGGTTACTGGCCACCAACTCCACCTGGTTGAGGAGGTTCTCGTCAGGAACCTTGCTGAGCTGGTTGCTGGGGTCATGTTGCCGAGTGGACACCTCCTGACAACACAATCCTGTCAGTTACCTCCCATCTACCAGCATTTTTATTTTCTCTTCAAGAAAAATGAACATTTTTTTGTGCTGAAATTGAAAAGATGCTTGCTAGGTGTATTAAGAAAAGTGATTATGTTTTACAAATTAACAATATTTATAGGACAATACAAATGTTTGGCCTAGATGTACTACTAGACTGTGATCAATGGAGAAAGAAAAAATAAAATTTTAAATAAAATTAAGAAAGGAAAAAAAAAGTCAATGTGGATAAGCCAAAATGTATTGAGATGGGTAGATTGAAGCATAAACCATGTTGGTGTGTATAGTTAGATGGAAGTTATACTTCTAGATGCTGCTGTTGTAAGGCATGTTAGCTCGAAAGCTAGAGATATAAAAATGGTACAAGAATACTGGATTACTTGTTGATTTGATTAAAAATATATAAATAATGTGTGGAAGCCATGACAGCAGATGTAATAATCTAGTTCAACTTCCAATAACAACATATCTGTTTATGAAGGTTAAATTAGGCTTACTTGATATGTTCAATACAGCGGCAATGTCAGATGTTAATAATATAATGGCTGCCACCTTAACTTGAAACATTGTTTTGTTAAGGATGGAATTATTCAATTCAATTATTTATTTTTAAAACATAGGGAACGGGTGTCAAAACAGTTAGCGAAGAAAATAAAAAAGATTTGGGAAAGATTAGCTCATCAGTGGTGTAAACCTACCTAGTAATTTTTCCCATTTAATCCACCAGATCATATTGTTCATTCGTTAAACACCATGAATAACCATTCAAGTGTAATGGAAGAGATTAAACAATACAATAGTTGTAGCAACCCGGCAGATTAAATGGGCAAAAATTAATGGAAAGGTTCACCACTAATAAACCAAACATTCCCAAAATATTGTTTTGTTCCTCTCAGTTCAATAATATCGAAGATATTCCAATTATGGTAAAACCTTTCTATAGCGAACCCCAATAGGACTGAACCTGTGGTTCAATATAGCCATAGTTTGTTATAGCCATAGTAACTGTAGTATAAAATAAAAAAATGAAGATTATTTCAGATTTGTTATAAAGAAAGGTTCGCTATATATATTCAAAGTTCATTTTAGCGGGTTTTAACTGTTAAATATATTAAAAAGAAACAGCACCAAATATTTCCTTCTTAAAAAAAATCAAAGCATGCTATGTGTTGCTCATTTATAACTGTGTAGATATAAAAAGAAAAAATCAAAAGGTGTCAGAGATATTGGGGGCTCACCTCACTGGGAAGGGCATGTAGAACATCAGAGCTGGCCAGGTCCCGAGATATATAGTCAATGGCCTTGCTGATTCTCTGCCTGAGGGACACTTTCTCCTGCCCTCCTCTTGAGATGAAGAAGCTCTGGAGGCGCATTCCCAGGAAGAAGGAGACACCCTGGAGGCACATACGGAGGAGTTGGCGGACTCTGGGGGCTGTCATGGGGAGGGGCCAACCTACCAGCCAACTGATGGTGTCCACCAGACAGGGGCGGAACCCTTGGCACCCAAACCTCTCCCAGTGGTAATTCTGGTGGTGGGTAGAGCCATTTTGCCCAGTGGAGTGACCAAACCCCTGCCCAGAATTGATGCCAAAGCTCCGCAGGCTGAAACACAAGAGCAGCTTGGATCAGAACAGAGATTTCTCATAGAATCATCAAATTTAGCAAAATATTTTCCCCCCTAATTAGTGTGTGAATAACACACACATATATTTAATTATATTATCAACTATTATAAACACAAATTCTCTTCTTTTTCAAATAAAGCAAACTTCAGAAAGAAGCCTACAGCCCCCGGTGTTCCTAGGTGGTCACCCTTCCAAGTACTGACTGGGCTCAACATTGCTTAACTTCGGTGATCAGACAAGGACCACTGTTTACAACATTGAAAACAGATTCGAAGTTAAGTAAAGTCGAGCCCGGTCAGTACTTGGGAGGGTGACCACCTGGGAACACCGGGAGCTGTAGGCTTTTTCCTTTTTTTTTAAAGCAAACTTCCTAATGTCCTTGCTGTGATGTGAAAAAATATTGATTATTTTTTATAATAATAATAATAATATAATAATGATTAACTACATCCCAAATATTACAACTACAGTAGAACCTCCATGAAAGGACACTCACGCTAGCGGACATCTCTCTATAAAGGACAGTTTTTATTTATGAAATATCATTTTTACTATTTAACAACTCTCTGGTAAGAGGACACCTCTCTCTAAAGGACACTTTTGATCTACAATTAGGTGTCCTTTACAGGGAGGTAGTTCTACTGTAAAGATTGAAAAAAAGCCTCATTGTCCAAGCATGTGTTTGTTCCCTCCCTGTATCATCCATCAGAATCTCTTCTACCAAAGTATTTCAGAGACACCCAAACATCCAATTTTTTAACAAAAACTTTATTTAAAGGTCTACTTTTGACACATATGGCAGTTATTTATGCCTGCTTGACTTGTTCGTTTAAATTATTAGCATGTGCACGCATGAAAACAAGTTGCATACTTTGTTATTTAGTGCATATCATCTGAGAATCTCTATTTACATATTTTGTGATGGGAGCTGACAGGGTAGTTCCTGCTAAGAAGAGCTAACTAACTAAATAGGAGGTACACAAAGTTTTCACTTTACCATAAAAGAAAATAAGACCTAATCCAAATAATTTATTAGTGTGTGACGTTTCGGCAACAACATTGTCACTATCATCAGACAAAAGAATAAATATTTATCATTTTTCAGCAATCATTTATTCTTTTGTCTGATGATGGTGACAATGTTGTTGCCGAAACGTCACACACTAATACATTATTTGGATTAGGTTTTATTTTCTTTTATTATAATCTATAATCCAAATTGTGCTTTTATCATTTTCACTTTACCGTTTGAAGGTGGATTGCACACACGGCTGTTGAGGCTCCGTAGCATCAGGCTGATTGGTTGTGGCAGAAGGCATCTGACGGACATTTTGACGCCTGCCTAGAACTGAAACACAAAGTTACAAGAGTTGATCAAGAGATGCAACATGGAAGGTTGCAGAATAGTGGCCCTCTATACAAATGTAAGTACATGTTAGGAATCAATTCTTTCCTAGTCTACCAATCGAGCAGAGTCAAACACTACACCTCTCAGAAAATTAACACCTTTAATTTCCTTTCATAACTAACTAATTTACATCATTAAAAACCAATTATATACATGTAAAACTGTCCGGTCATCTGGTCAAAACATAAATAAATTAATCTATGATAAAACAACTTATAAAATCCTAACAATGCCCCCCCATTTTAAAGTTGTTTTCATACCCTCATCGGAGGCCTAGAGTGGTCAAGATCCTGGTTAGGTCTTCGTTTAACACCATTTGGCAAGTCAACATCCCATACTCTGTGTTCCCGAAGTGATGCCATTTCACATTCTATAGACCTCAGCCGATTTTGTGCTTTGGGCATATTAAGCGCCTCCTCGTATGATGACGGCATTTCATCCCGATGGGTCCCATGTTCAACTATCCCACGGTGGAAGGCTGATCTACAATACTCCTTCTGCCTAGCCGCAATTCTTGAAGATCTTCTTGGGATTATAGTTTCATTCTGGCCTTCGTCTTCTCTCCTCAGTGCTTCGTCTTCATAGGCCTGCTCTCCATCCTCTCTTCGTTCTAAGTTATTCAGATCTTTCTCTACCGATATTGTTTCCTCATCAGTCCCTGAATATCCTCTTGGGATCGCAGCTTCATTTTGGTATTCCCCTTCATCTTCCTTCTTTAGTTCTTCCACTGTATAGGTTCTTCCTCTTCTATTAGATTTCAAAATTAACCCGCCATCACTTCCAAAAACAGAGGCCTTGCCATTCTGGAATAATACTTTGTTTCCTCTTTCCTCAATCCTTCCAACAGACAAAATATTTCCGTCTAACTCAGGAACGTATAAAACGTTTTCCAATAACAAGGTTTCACCTCCATATTCGTGACCGAGTTTGATTGTTACATCACCCATCTCTGATACTTTTATTTTCTCATTGTTAGCCATTTCTACTGAAGTTGAAATACTTTTTGTGTTCGTCAATTTCAGTCTGTTCGACGTCATATGTTCAGTAGCTCCACTGTCCAGAAACCAGATATTCTGCGAATTATTGTCTTCAAAGCCGTTCGCAAATAGGACCTTATGAGTCAGGTCTAGCGTACCTTGTTTCAGCATACCTTCGCTAATTCTCCTTGAGGAGTTGGCAAATCTGCAATTCCTAGCTATGTGCCCTAATCTGCCACAACTGAAACACCTTATCTGCCTGGAGATACCTTCGCTAATTCTCCTTGAGGAGTTGGCAAATCTGCAATTCCTAGCTATGTGCCCTAATCTGCCACAACTGAAACACCTTATCTGCCTCGGGTAGTTATAATTTTCCCTTTTCCCTTCCGTCCACGTATTATGATAATTCCTTGGTTGATCATATTCAAATTTTTTTCGCTCTTGACATGGTGATTTGCATGTATCCTCTTTTCTTCTTACCGCAAAAGCACTATTAGGATCTTCTTGAGGAATTTGACGCTGTTTCTGTCTTTTTTCTTCTAAAAGTAATTTGGATTTAACCACACTAGTCGATAGTTTCTCTTCTTGCTGTTCTAAACTGAGAATCAGCGGCTCGTAGCTCTTTGGTAATCCCAATAGCATAATCAAAGCTAATTCGCCATCCCCAAATCCATGGTGGCACTTTGCTAATTTTCTATGACATTCCATTATTCTCGCGAAATATTCCTTCATGTCTTCGTCATTTCTTTTGACAATATTGAAAAATTCTCTCAGTAGCTGCAATATATGCAGTAATCCATACTTTGTGTGGATATCCTCCAGCATCTGCCATGCATCGATCGCTCGTTTACAATCACCGATGTCATCCAGGAATACTGCGACTGCGGACAAATACAAACAATGCACCATATCCTAAGGGACTGTCCTCGAAGATTCTTCCAGGGAACACTTGGGGATATCCACCGGTGCACAGAGGAGGCCCTGGAGTGGATTCGTCACCTCGACATTCCACTCTAGAGAAACTTGCCAACATTGTTGTATTGTGCTGTAAAAAACAATATCATACGCAATAAAATAAATCCAGGAATGAATCTTCAACTGCTAATAATATGACAGATAATGCCAAACTATCTTTCCGCTTCTGTTTTTCTGTAGTTTCCCTAGGAAATCCAGGCTCAATCGCATCCCATATATCCTTCTGGATCAAAATAGATTTAGTTCTTATAGCCCAGGAATAATAATTATTACCATCAAGTTTAGGTATTCTGAACTCGTCAGCCATCGATATTTCCAGTTATGCAAATCTGACAAAAAAAAATTATAACTCAAAGCTTTTCTTTTTCTTCTTCGTTGCACAAAGTTCAGTCTTTAAATCACTCAAATTTCTTATAATCTAAATCTTTTCTCTATCTTAGTTAGCTTTATCTTCTTCAGTCTAGCATAAACCTTTCTTCTTTAGCCGTTCCCTGGCCTTATCTTCTTTAGCCTTCAGCTTTTTTTCTTTAGATTTAACTTTTAATTTCTTTCTACGGCGCAGTGGAAGCGTGCTGGGCCCATAACCTGTTAGGAATCAATTCTTTCCTAGTCTACCAATCGAGCAGAGTCAAACACTACACCTCTCAGAAAATTAACACCTTTAATTTCCTTTCATAACTAACTAATTTACATCATTAAAAACCAATTATATACATGTAAAACTGTCCGGTCATCTGGTCAAAACATAAATAAATTAATCTATGATAAAACAACTTATAAAATCCTAACAGTACAGTATAACCTCATTATAACAGACTTTTTTTTAAATAAGAGTAACACTCATTTATAACACCTTAATTCTCAAGTCCAAATTGTTATAACCATGGTTTATAACAACTCTATGATTATAACAACATAAACTATTTGTAGTGAGGGTGATTTTGTTATAGTGAGGTTCGACTGTATTAAAGAACAAAGATGGCATTAAGACATGAGGTATGTAAATATTTCTAACACTGTGGTTTATTGTTGCAATACTAATACAAGAAAATAAGACCTAATCCAAATAATTTAATAGTGTGTGACATTTCGGCAACAGCATTGTCACCACACACATCATCAGAGACAAAATAATTAAAAAAAAAAAAATCAATCATTTAAAAAAAATTATTTTGTCTGATGATGGTGGCAATGCTGTTGCCGAAATGTCACACACTATTAAAATTTTTGTATTAGGTCTTATTTTCTTGTATTATAATCTGTAATCCAAATTGTGCTTTACCATGTTGCAATACTACAAAACTAGAGGGTCAAGCCAAGTTAAGCAAATTAAAGTAAAGAATTCCCATATGTAATAATTGGAAAGTTTGGATGACCCACATTTTATCTAATGAATAATTCCACTCTTGCTTCATTAAAAAAAAATGAAGAAAAAAAAATTGAAAAAGGAAGGCTTAGTTATAATTTATAAAGACCTTTTAAAACCAAAATATGGGTATTGTGAAATTTTATCAGTATTTAATAGGTATTGTGAAATTTTATCAACAACTTTTTTCTGAATTGATGTTGTGTTTTGCAAAAACATGAGATGTTTGTTCAAGACTATGCATTCATCCATTCTGAGTCATTTGCTGTCACCTCGATCATGTTTAGGTGAACATTGCACCAGTATTGTTTTTGTTCCTTCATCAGAGAGAGAGAATTTGATGGGGTGAACATTGAACAAGTCCTTACCATGTTAAGATCTTGGATTATGATCTGATGACAATCTAATTGACAGGCCAATCTCATTCTTAATATCTCTAAAAGTTCTTTTTCTGTCTTCTTTATTGATTCATTATTATGATAAGGTACAATTTGGATTATAGATTAGAAACACAAGATATTTAGACCAAATCTAAATAAAT